TCCGTTCTACTTATACCGGTGTATTGTAATATAATTGACAAATATTAACACCATTATTAACGCTTCGTGTTTGAAATTTGAATAACATATTTTGATGGACAGTTACTGTTCTTGAAAAGAAGCGCTAAATCTATGGTCTTTATAAAGTGTCCTGTTGAAATAGTTTTATAATATGTGCTGGGGATTACACGTTGCCAGCGAATTGTAGAGACCAAACCATTTATACGATGCAGGCGTGATCACACTGGTGAACAAAATAGGTGAATAACACAGAATTACGACATTGTAATCTCGATGTAATCCAGCGGATGTAATATTACAATATGATTTACTTATTTCATTCCATTTTTTGGTATATGACGCAAAATATTCATATTTGGCGACAGCTTTTCTGTGACGTGGACATAAAATTTGCATATGTTTACATACAAGTCAAATATATTGTTCTATATACACTTCAACACAGCCCATCGCTACATCCATGATTCGGACGACTTTCTGACTGCTCTGCATAAATTCGTTCCAGATCATATTCAACGACGCCTATTGGTTTACAAATTCCAGAATGTAACAATATTTACATTTCTGTATAGAAATAAACAGTATGCTTTTCTTTGCATTGTAACGAGGAATTTGTCAGGAATATCGTTCTGATGCTTTACATCGATCATGTAACTATTCACTATTCCGTCATAAATCAACTTCAATTAGAGGTAGAAACGAGAGGTTTTTGAACAATCACAGAGGCTATAAAATATCGATACTCAGAAACCTAGTAACCACAAATTATATATTTTTGGTATAGTAAAATAATAAAAATGGGATACCGCGTGAATAATCCAACCACCACCTTTCTTACATCACCCATGATATGTAAAATGTAACTTTGATGTCTAGATAGATACTGGAAGTCAATAGTATATTGTCACATGCTTTGTCCATCAGTTCATACACACTTGTCTCGAGCCTTCTGTTCTTACTCGAAGATTCTTTTTGTAATGATATGATCCAAACATCGTGTCATTCTGTGTCAATGCTGGCCGATTGCATAAAATGACGTCATACGAAGCCATGCTGTCTAACACGCATCAACTTGCAAGCAAGCACGAATGCCTTTGTTGATTAATACAACGTAACAAATCTAAAAACCCCAATAACATCACCGATGCAGTACGTTTTGAAATGGGATTAGGCTTGTCGAATAACTAGATTACCAACTGCAGAATCTCACAAACGACCCGGCATTATAACTTATATTTTGAACGTGCTATGTAACGGTAGCCATGAAATTATATGGAAAGCTAGAATACGACTATATTGACTTGTTTTAAAGATGTATTGTAAGCACAATTTAGTTCAAAGCCTTTTACATTTTTGAGTACCTTGCCCATAAATCAAACTCGCAGTTCGTGAGTTACTCACTGAAATCTGACCCATTGCGTCGTTACCCGAAAAGTGAATTTATTGACTTTGCTTCAACATGGAAAGTACGTCAAGTTGGCCAATGTTCAAGCACGCTCGGTCGCAGTCATTCGGCAGTAAACACGAGTAAAATAACCGTACTGCACATTCAAATGGCCGGGACCTGAAGGTGATACAGGAAATAATTCAAAAGGCTGGTGTGCGTTTCAGACTAATCGTAATGGAAAATGCTTGATGTCGATCAAATATTGATTTTGCAACAGAGTACGTCTTCGAGTAGACAGCCTCGCGTGCGATTCGGCGACTTGGGGACACCCTAAGATACTGATAATTTTAAAACAACCGAACCACGGAACTGCTCGGTGATGTTCGGCTATTTGCAAGTCGGATATTTTGTGAATCCTGTAATTTTTGCATATTACTTAACATGCCAAAGAATTCAATTTTTCCAACAATACAACTTTTAATAGCTCAATTACCGGGCCCAGTCAGCATTTCTTCTTCGATTAAAAATAAAAGCTGCACCAGGTGTTTCCTATGCCAATTACATGTTTGTCGTCGCTGGTATCAACATTTATTCACATCAAAACTACAAATTGACAGCTGTGATTTTCATCATTTTACAAGCTGAATTAAATCAGGCGTTTGTAATTTCATTCATCCCTTCGTGGACCAGACTTTCTTATTTCAAGTGGGTTCAGTATTTATGCATGCCCATAGCCCACTGTTAGTTTAGTGGCCAATGATGGTTAATGTCTAACATATTCATCAGAACAACGGCTGGGAGAACTGTATATATATAGTTCTGAAAAGCCATGCGCAATGGGTTGGTATGCGCAAAAGCAAGAAATCATCCTTCGAAACCATGGCACCCTTAATAATTTCAACCAACACTATATAACACCGGTTTGTAAACAAACAGTTTAGGAACGTTATGTATTATCCAAATAGTATGACGCCACACCACCAGAACATAATAGCTCTTATGTCTGGGCATCCTTGTGTTTTATATGTGAAGAGTCGTGTAATGGATTCGACCCCATGTCAACAACCTCTGTACGATTTACTTTACCGCGCCCATGTTGTATCGGTGTATAATTGAAGATGGCGTCACCAAAACCGCTTAATGTTTGTAAATGAGTGCATCGCAATCGCTCCACGGTCACATACTGTTTAAAATACAAATCTCGCGTTGTTATACATTCGGGGGACAATCCATGACAAGGACAGTAGCACAATTCATTTAATAGCATCTGTTAACAGCTGCCTTCACTGTAAGTCTGTTTCGTAAATCTTTTTTTTTCGAGTCGCGCAACTCCACATAATAAACTCAGCGGCCACAACAGAGCTGTCTACACAAGCTGTCTATAGCATACAAGAAAACAACGAATGTATTTGGCACAGTGACGTAATGCTGATTTAAACAGTATTGAACAGGCATTTACGTCATTACTTAAAATTGTAAAGTTGAATTAATCGTTCATATATAAGCATAATACAATCACTTCCCACGTGCATATCCGCTTCTGGTATTTGGCAGCATGATAAAGATGAAAAATTGGATGTTGATTTCAAAAAAGAAATTCTGACTTATGAGCAGAAAGTAACTGCATACGTCACCAACTGTTCAATTAAAAACCAATCTAGTAATACGTGCGATGGATTAGTTGTAATTGTAAAACATGCACATGACCAAAAAAAATGTTAAAACCTGTGAGAGCCAGCCATCTTATAAAACGCAATCAAATACTCTCAGTGTTTAAGATCTTTACATATTGGCACCGAAGTCGAGGTCATTTTTGATTTTAGATTTTGTACAATAAAATGGCATTCGTGTACGTATTTGATTAGCTACAATTCAGTGGGAGACAACGAATAAAAGAACATCGTCACAGAGGCGCGGTTAAAATACGCATACAATAGTATTCAGGACCTTGTAAATCAACGAAATATTGGAAATCAGCACCAATCATCGTCCAATCCCCTACTCGCTCGTTCAAGAACAGCCGTTGCTCTTTTGTTTTCAATACATTTACTCATGAATATTCAAACTATAGGAAAAAAACACTTACAATTTTACTATGCACGTGACCGTCACCGATAAACTGATATTATTGGTATTCACTAAGAGACTTCATATTACAATTAACCACACAACCCAATGGAGAACAAATCTGTTCATTATTGATATTCTAGATACACAACAAAGTTTAAATGTTCTCTATCTGATAAATCATAATACATTTTTGATTTAATTTTAACAATTGATTTGTGTAGACAACGTGACTGAGGGGATCTGATCACGAGTATGTATGGTGTGGTATATTTCAACACGTCACATGTAAACATCACGGCTTCTGAACTCTCAGACGTAGCTTTGTATACCTAGCGAAATAATGCACGTGGCAGCCGTCTGAGAATGGATTATGGAATATTAAAATACAAACACACCAACAGCCATTAAAAGTGTATAATCAATTGTGAGTGGAGACTATTTTGGGACACGAGATATCTTGCAGTGCCGCTTTTTATAAAATGTCTGACATATTCGGTGCAATAATTCAAGTATAGACCGTAGCCCCAAGGTCGATATATAGATTTATTGACTGGAGAAAACATTGCTGACCGAGGCTTCACCGATTCGGCAAATATATATAAACTTAGCTGGAGTCAATATTTGTATATTATTAAATGTTCATATAGGATTTTGTACTTTGTTGTAACATATATGTTTTCAATATATGTTTAATTTAATTTTATTGCAATGTATATGTTATAATAATTAAATAATGTGTATTCCTTGAGATGCCTTCATATAACGCATCACCAAAGACCCAGCAAGATGAATATACCGGACGATTAACGAGAACCCGGGGTGTGTGCAGGCAATCTATTGCACCACGAACTGTCTAGTCTTGGTTCAATTAGTCTTTAACAGAAACGCACAACGACTGTTCAACGTGAATTACTGTACTGACTGGCGTTTCACAAAGTAATGGGCTAAGGTCCTCTAACCTCTCCCAATAGATTTGTCAGCCTCCGTTAGCTACGTTTTAGTTCTGAAATAACGACAAAACATAGTGTCATTTTAAAAATGACATATTACCATTCATATTACCAGTGAATATACATATTTAAACAAGTCTACTACACTGCCGTATGTAGACGTGATTTATTTACGAGAGTTGATTATTTTCAGAAGAACAAACAAATATTTCAACTTTTATTGCTGTTATTACTATACACCAAATATCTCCCGTGACGACGATGTAAATAGGCTATCGGATTGTTCATTTTGAAGTGAAAATATAATTTACTTCCCCCGTCGATAGAACACTAATGTATGACCATTCATTTTCCCAATTGGCACAGACAGCTCTCATATTTCAGGATCCCTCGTGGTTTTATGTCTATAAATGTCTATATTGATTGAGATGCTTCCATTGATTTCATGCCGTCGTAAAACCACGTGAATCCCACCATGCGGTGGAGGTTTGCGTCTAGGGAAGCACCTCGGAGTTGGCTATTAATACTCATATTGTTATAATAAAAACTGTTTCCTTTCTCTCCTACTGTAGAAAATCCGTGTTTTATGTGTGGAAAACTATCTGAGCATGACGCACCGGTTTGTGTGGATATGTCGCTAAAATGTAATGGTCGAAACAACTGTCCAGACGGCAGCGACGAAGATTACTATCTCTGTTATGGAGGTCAGTAATATCCTAGTTTCCTATTTGCTTTAGTTGTCGGGTTTCATTTATAGCAACGTTCGACAACGTTTGCGTCCACTTCAAACGTGTTGCCAAGCTATACCGATACTGTGCCTTAATCGCATAAGTAAATAACTACTGGAATGGTAATTTGTTAGCGCACAGTGTCAGTCACTTCTCAACGTAATATTTCATTTACCAACAGAATCGCCGTTTTTTGAACAATGTTTAACTTGAAATACGTATTGAAGTTGCATGACGACTGTATGAAAATAGTTATTTTTAGTTAGTGTTTGATTTTTCTGGACTGTATTGGGCGAATTTCAGTGTATGCGTTGTCTTGCTGTCTAGTGGGAATACAGTTACAACACGGATTACACAACCCATGCCATGCTTTATATTCAAGGACATATCCGTATTTTTCTATTTTTACGAGGATTAATCATTCATCGAATTAGCGACAAACTGAAATCAAAACATTGCCGTGAAACGACTTCAAATAGTAATGTTCAATGGCGATGTAACAAAGGTGTGCGATAAGCGTAAACGCAACTGATACATAGTTTCCGTTGACACCCTTTTAACGGAATTTTTGAGAAAATGAAGATGATCAAACCTATTAATTATCTGTTTCTTTGAATACTACTCTATATTTTTTCCGATAAAGATACGCCTTTGTACTTTCCATACACGACAGAATTTTTAATTTCCTAATTCTAAAAAAGAAACACTTTCAGGTTTTGTGGAACAAGGTAACGCCGTAATAACAGGATGTATATGTCAGTTTGGTTCATTAGAGCCCACGCAAAGAGCAAACAAATAACTTCCTTCCTTTCCAGACTTATTTTGCCAAACAGTAAAGCCTACTAATTGTTTGAAAATCGCCGCTGGATTCGGAAATTCGCTATTAAATGCTCATGGGGAGGGGAATACTGGCTTGATGCTGCGCCTTGATTGTATAATGTCGATATTCATTGTTCAGTAACTATAGAAACTCACCTTTATTGTACGTGAGGATAAATACGTTTTCCTGTGGTCGTCTGCACATGTGATTACCAAAGCATATAGCTATACAACTATGCGTGTATACCTTCAATTTACTCTCGCATCAAGGCAAATGAACGGTTCTAATGACATGGCAATTCAGGGAAATGCACCCTTCACCAAATTAAGATTCGTTGCAAATACACTATGTACATCCAAGTTTCGAAGATACAATACGAACAAAATTAATTTAATTTTAAATTCTAAACTATTGTACAGATAATCATAAAAACTAATCAAACAGAGATATAAGTTGTTAGTGTGTGAAATCGACAATAGGAATTAAATCAGTATTTCGCATAAAGTTGTTTGACGGGCGAAAATAACAAAATTGGTTTCTCGGCGTGAATAGTCCAATTGTCTATATAGATCTGATGTATTTTGTAACAAAAACGATAATTATTGTCCAATGACATGTTAAATCAAGTGACCCGCTAACTAGTGTGGACTCGATTCGATATTACGGCGTACATGTGTGATTCACCTCGAGTATGGGCTTTTTATTCAATCAATATTTTCATTTGACTTTTGTTAGAGTAAAAATTAATGTCGGACACATAATTGTAATTTTCTCTTCAATTACGCCGTCATTAAATTAGTTGTATAGATTACTAAACATTTGCTTACAGCTCGCATGTTTTTTGGCAGCTGGGATGTAAAAGAATTTCCTGTTTTTATTTGATCGGAACATAAAAGAAGAGGTTTATAGGATCGGAACAATCAACTTTGTTTGTGCAAGTTGTGAGTCATTAGTGGTGTTTACCACATTACTGAAACTGACGTAATTAATTTGCAAGATAATGAGCTACAAAATGTCATTTATAGTCAGGAATTGTTTTTGAATTAGTATTAATTTGTGATCAAGGGAACACGTGACACATTCGATATGCTATTGGGTATTTCAGCGTCTCACACTGTGAAACAAAATGTTCTTTTTTCGATTTTTCTTACCTTAATATCGTGTCGTGATCACTCCATGACTCAAAATTCACACAGTCATATTAATTCTACTAAAACCTTTCGACAATATTCTACAAGTTACAGAATATCGAAGTTGGAGTAAATGCCAAAGTATTTTCGACTGTCGTGACTTAAAAGTATTAAATTTATTAATTTATGTGTCTTTTCAAACATATAAGAATATACTCTTCTAGTTATTGCACGTGTTCAGTGACTTTCTGTATATTTTCGGTACAATAAAAATAAACCGTTATATCACACATCTCATACGATATTCAAGTGAATAGAAACACATTTTAGTTCAGGCTAGTTACGTAATCTATTCGATGTTTAGTTGACAACATATGTTCTTGTAATGAACAGCGTAAAAGTTTACAGTCAAACCCAGCTAACTTTTCCGCCACAAAATAGTTTTTCATCATCCGTGTCGTTGTTTTTGACAGGAATTGAACAAAGCCCTAGATAATTGTAATATTTGCAATTTCATATAAACATGACATGGCATGAACAGAGAGATCATACAATGACATAACATTAGTAAGGTGATATTTCAATTCTATACAGACATAAATGCAGTAAACGACGCGACAGTAGATTACCTACGAGAACAACACACGAAGATAACACCATTAGTAATGTTTGACTGAAACGTAGAATACCATCTGTGTCGTATGTGATTTTCGAATCGATCCAACCACATAAATGGTAAAATACAGCGTTACTCTGTTCAAATCTCTCATGGAATCAAATCCTATATAGATTGTGGTTTATGCGATTTTACGAGAAAAAAATAAGACGTACGTGATCAGCATATCTTCCTGGGTGATTACCGTCGATAGCGACTGATCTTAATGCACTCCAACGTATATATGATCCACACCCGGCAGGGAATTTGATCCCAACACTAAGGGATTATATTACTGTAGGTTATTTTGTGTCTGATTGCATATACTTTTGGAAAAAAACTGCAACTCGGCGTAGGGATTGCATATTTTAATTAGATGATATCGTAGCTGATGCCGAAGCTAAATTGATGTGATCTATGTCTCGTAATGAATTTTGTAGACTGGACTAATCTTCGCCCTGTTTCTTTTCATTTATCTGATGACATGTAGCCGCGGTTGTTGACTCACTGCCCACGTATAATGGGGAGTCGTGGGTATTGTCTGGATCAAACAGTTGCGTGTAATTTGTCTAAACTTGTAATAACGTCCTTTGACGGTTTCTTTAACGTAATCGATTAGTTCCTTCAAGACATCAGAATGACACCATTATCTCATCATTTGTAGGAGCAATCGTCTAAGTGGCTCCACAAAGTCTGACTTCAAATACATTCAATGTAATCGAACTGACATAGTTAAGCTTTTCTGGATATTGATAAAGAACGTATTATCTGCTGTGTTTCCTGCTATGCTTTCGCCTGGGTCGTAAATTCAAGATCACGCGCTCTGACATCTGGGGACGTACGGTGTAGGTTAGGCATATTGGCATAGTGCTTAATTAATTTGCAGTTTAACGTGTATCTTAAGGACAAAAAAAACAGTTACACCAATAAGATTTTGGAGGTATAATTTTATTCATGGACAGTGATACTTAATTCAGATAAATTATTTAAATGGAAAATGGAGTTTAAAATGTATGAATTATGAGCGAACAGGGGCACAATCGGCTTAGCCATTATCTTAATTTTCGTTTAAATAGAAATGTTCCAGAAAAAAATCATAGTACGATTTTTGTCATTATTTTCACTCAGATTCCTGTGTGGCGAATCTACATTCTCACCAGTTATGTGACGGAATTAAGCATTGCATGGACGGCAGAGATGAAAAAATAGATAAGTGTATTGGACGAGGTAATTTTTGTCCTATTTTTGCTGTACTATATAATACAATACAGTTAGTCGAACCACTTAACACACGCATCATTCACATTATGGCACACAGGCGATGGAATTGGCACTGACGATTTACACTAACTTGAATATTTTGCTATGCGCATTTCTTTCAGAAAACAGAATCGGTCTTGGAATGGCCGTCACGTTGTATTTCTTCACTCCTCTCACCATAGTGATGGCGATTCTCGTGTTGTGTGTTCTCTGCTGTGGACGATGTGATAGACGGCGTTACACGATCGAGAAAGACGCAATTACATATTCCGAGTCTAACGTTCTGGACGACTCGAGGCACACCGCCAGGCCATGCAGAGTTGTCTATGATGGTAACGATGGATCGTACAGACCTATAGCAGTATGACGTGGATTTCATGGGTTGCTTATAAACAGCAAATGACTATTCCTGTTTTCATCGTTTATTTGAACGAGTTGCATTGGATGCCACAAGTCGAACTTTCACGTGAAGGATAGCATCAAACTTGGATTTTGATTTTGATAAGACTAGATGTCTTATCGAAGAGACATTTAAAATGTCTCTCTGTCTACTGACAGTCCCAAGTATAAATATGCTATCCAGATTTTACAATGACTGGACATATCGAGTCGTCCAGTTCTAAGTTCATTGACACTGCTGGTCCAATAATCACCATTTCTAGTTGTAAGATTTTGTTTTAATACTTTAAAATTACTGGTATCAATGAACACATCTCGGCTTTTAGAGAGCCTAGACAAATATCATCTGCGAGGCACTATGTGTATATCCATTGTTGTTCAGCCACACAGATCATATCGAATTCAGTATTTGTTTTTAAAAGCTAATAAACATGATATTGAACAGTCAAGTAAGAAGTGCATTAAGGTAACACAGGGGAATATGAATACATAAATAATTTATTTGTAATCTATATAGTCGCTCATGGGATTATACTATAGGTTATAGAAACTCTCGTGAACGAACGTAGCTGTTCGTGGCGAGGGACGTTCATGAGATTACAGTCAGCTAGCATCGCGTTGACGGTCTCGCGGTACTCACAAACGATCAATAAAGTCGTATTCTACTATATTCTACAGTTTATGAGTTTGGTAAATATGCTAATAAATACGTTATTCACGCATCACTTAGTTCAAATGGTGCTTAGAACACAGTGCAGCCTAATAAACGTGGGGGAATCTGTGAACTTAACGCTTCCGTTAGTGGCAGCAACAGATATTTATCTCCTACAAAAATACCTGCCTGGAACAACATACCACACACAAGGAGTGTATCGATGAACGCACTCGCGAATAATCGCGTGTTTCAAGTGAAGCAAAAGCCAAATACACGGAACGTCAATTTCATAGTCATTCCCCGGGGATAGACATTAATGCACTACATTCAACTGTTTCGTCTTGAGTGGATGGAGAAATGTACATGTGATGAGATAAAGAACAAACTAAGCTCCAACAATGCAATAAGGATATAAGTAATGATCAAGAAGATACCAGTAATGGATGGAATTAGTTAAACCTAAAATGGCATGAATAATGTCACCGATATGCGTAGCTATGATATCGAAGACCATCATAACATAAGTATTTAACTATAAATGAAGTGGGATAAGCTGCCATAATCACGCACCTACGGTCTGGTATATTATCGCACAGATCTATTTTCCTATTAGCCTGACAACGAACCTACCACAAACTGTCTATATATGCACCATGGTAATTGGTGGGAAGGTCGTTTTGAAACTGCATTCACAATATTATGACCCGATATAAGCAGCACAAAAAACACGTTACCATAATGACATCACGTACGCACATGCCATTGCAGTGTTCACAACAGATATGTCAATCGGCTTTTAGGAAACTGATAGGTGATTTGGTACGGCGACTGCGGGTCGGTTCGGGTCACACATTCAGTACCTGTTTGTCTTGATAAATTTAGTATTTACCCGTATTTTCGACCTATTTATTACCAACTGTGCTGCTGAATTTGTAGTTATTTGTTTCCAAGTCTGATTAAAATGGGTGGCGTGGACGGGTTTCACTGAATAAGTTGGTAATATGCTTAATTTTGGGGGATATCTGGTAGCTACGTAGCTGAGACAAACAGTGACTTTTAGCCATGCTATTTTTGTACGCATGTTTGCGTTATCGAATAAACGCCACACAATGCACACATCGGGTTTTTAGACACGGTAACTTTAATTAATGAATACAATTCTTTGTCTGAGAAACATGTGTGAAACATTTACATTGATAAGCTACTTTTATAATAATTCAATTACATTTATCACAATTACTACTAGTTTACGTAAAGGTTATCTTTTTTCATTCTTATTATGTTTATAAACAGTTAAATAATTGACATTTGCGTGTTTGAAAAAACAATTACGGAGAGATGAAATGTGACATAAAAGATATACAATCGACTTTCTAATTTGTTTTCCACTATACATGCAAATGCAGTCACTTATACTCATGGTATGAGACACTGTAACGCCATGCTGTTACCCCGAGGTGAAACTCAGTATCTGCTACGTTTTCCACTGGGCAAAATCGTTGATATACGATTGTATACGCAGATATACATTGTGTGTATATTCACGGTATACGTTTAGTATACGCAGATATGATTACGTATACAAATCGTGGAATATACGTACATATGCGCTACGTATTTTTATGGTTTCTTTCACACATGCCCGCCTTGGGTGGCACGCAGCGTATACGTACGTATTTTACATGCATTCTCGTAGTACAATTAACGTTGTTTTACGAA